CGCAGAAAAAATCATGATGTTGAGCTTGCATTTGCTGATGAACAGGGTCTGGACTTGCAGTCTTTTTTCACTTCCACCAGATGCCTATGCGGGATTGCTGTCACCTGATGCAGAAATTCGGACGATCACGGCTTTGAAGGCAAAGGGCCATCACACATCACTCTTGAGGTTGGAGTCGACATTGGCACGGTCCACTCCAAGTGTTCATGCCCGGCAACTCTTCACAGACCTGCAAGTTGGAATCAGCCATCCTTCGAGACTTTTTCTGGACACATTGGAGGCACAGGGATATGAAGTGGCGCCTCCGGGGTCAGAAGACATTGTCGTGGATGATGTTGACACAGAGCAGGACGGGGAGATGGAGGATTCTGTGCCTGAAGAAGCAGATGACGGTGCCGGAGTTGGTGACATTTTGTTAGACGGGCAAGAGGGCAGAGTGCCAGCTCAAAGGACTGTAACAATATCGGTACCAGCATGCCCTGCAACCCACCTGCTGAGTGTTCTGGTGCAGACGCTGCCAGACAACAAGATTGTGGAAGATGTGCACAACAAGATTCGTAATGATTCTTTGTTGAACAAAACCCGCAAGCAAACATACTCCACGATTCAAACTGTGATCGAGAATTCAAACGTCTTTGAAAGCCGTTCAATCAGGCATCCGGCAAAAGTCAAACGGGAATATTTTGAAAGGGAGTTTTGGAATGTGGACAGGAAGCGCCAAAAGTTGTGCTTCAGAGGATGTGTCCACAAGCTGCCGTCACAGTATACCGAGATTGTCGGCGACAAGACATGGAACACCCTGTCAGAAGAGACACTCGAACGAGCATCAGCTGCGTGGTCATGGCTAATTCACTACAATGATGCAAGACTGGCATCTCAGCATGTTCCCTTGCGTGCTGGGAAGTTTAGCAGCCTTGCAGCCCCTTTGAAGATCTTGAACCATGTCTTGGATTTGACATGCTATCTCTCTCTTGGGGCAAAAACCTGGGCTGCTCTCATGTGGCCAGTGGTCCAGCATGAGGACCAGTCGACAGGAGAGATATATTTTGTTTTGAAGGCAGAGTGCCCGGATGGTTCCAGCGTCAAGGCCTGCTGGATTCATTTGTATGAGCCCCAGTATTGGGAAGTCATCGAAACAGAGGCAGTCTTCTGGAATGGCTTCATTTGCCTCCGTCGTTGTGCTACAAGCTCAGTGTCACTTCTATCCTATATGTTGCAGCATCCCAAGTGACATGTTTTCATTTAGGATTCTGTCAACTGTCGACCCATACAGTAAATAGTACAATAAACTTATATAAGTTTTGCTGTGCTTGTTTTTGCTGACTCGACTGAGGGAAATGTCACAAGCATGTCGGACTCTCGCAGACTGCCAGAATCTCGCCGAGCATGTGATCTCCCAGACTGGAAACGTAGACGAAAAAAAGCGAAAGGAGCTGCAACGAATGCGCCGTCCAAAGCTCATGAGCCTGATCGCTTCTCATCACCTTCCGGAAGATGAGGATTTCATGCGCAAAATTGAGGCTATGTATTCGACAGCCAAAGATTCAACAGAGGATGAGGATGAGGATGACATTATCATGGGGGACTTTGTTGATGAGCTGGTTCTTGACGACCTGCTTGCTGAGGACAAACAGGAATTTAAAATGGTCTCAGACGCAGTCAGAAAACGCAGAATCAAAAGGGTGCATCAAACCTGGCAGGCCATCAAGACGCAGCAAGCAAAGGCCAAGGCAAAGGGCAAGGCCAAAGCAAAGACCAAAGCAAAGGCCAAGCCACAGGCCAAACGGAAAGCCAAGAGAAAGATTTGTCGCCCACGTATGTTGCCCAGGAAGCAACCCGCGCCTCCTGATGAAAGTGGTCAAGAGGGAGCAGAAGGCAGAGTGCCAGCACCTCCTGCTGAGGTGCCGGTGGAGCCGGAGCCTGATAATCACGTGGAGGCCGCGGAAGGCAGAGTGCCAGCCCCTCCTGCTGAGATGCCGGAGGTGCCTGCTGCAATCCCTGTCCCAGAGCCTGATGATCACGTGGAGCCCGAGGAAGGCAGAGTGCCAGCCCCTCCTGCTGAGATGCCGGAGGTGCCTGCTGCAATCCCTGTCCCAGAGCCTGATGATCACGTGGAGCCCGAGGAAGGCAGAGTGCCAGCCCCTCCTGCTGAGATGCCGGAGGTGCCTGCAGTGCCTATCCCAGCACTCGAGCCACGGGAGGTTGCAGTCCGTGGCCCCCAACATCAGCGGCGGCCGAACCGTGTTGACTACCAAGGGGTATGGACACCTGTTCAATGCCCGGAGTGTCCCAAGATCGCTGGTGAGATGAAGTACGACCCGAATCCTGGTGGCACTGACAAAGCAAAATGGTTTCTCCGAGTTCGTGTGACAGACGGCGGTCTCTTGGAAAGATTCGGAACATTTGTTATAGCTTCGATGTGGTTGCCTGATCTGCTGTGTGTTGTGTCACATTACATGAACCCATGTGTGTCTGGCATTGAAGGCGAGTGGAGCCACCTCGTACCCTATCACTGGGGACGTGTGGCTTCCAAGATGACAGAAGCGCAGGCCAGACAACACGTCATTGACCATAGGCCCTGTTGTGGCCCGACCAGGAGGCCTGGCAACAACTAGAGGATTCATCCTGCGCTGCAAAGAAAAGTTGTGTGTCTGTCTGTGTGCTTGCATTGATGGCAGCGGGTCCTGCTAGATTGGAATGCGTCCGAGAGACTGTGTGTTTCTGCTTGGGGAAGACGGATTGCGAAAGCATGTTCGCATTTTCACACATGTGGAATTTGTCACGTGCAAGCACATGGACAATCATTTCGAGTGCCACAACCCGGAAGCCGCACAAACTAGCACATGTGGTTTGAAGCCGTGCGTGCTTGTGACTGAACAGTAGCCGTCCAGAGCAATGCATTTCGCCCCGATCGAACGAGGAGAGTGTTTCTTCAGAGGCGAGCTCTCCCCAATCTTGATCAAAACCGCTTGCGAAAAATTGGCCAAAGCGCCTGTCCAGTGGAGACCAGCTGAGAGATGGAAGGAAGTTTATGACGACGTGCCTTGGGAAATCATGGTTCGCTACCTGCGTTACTGGCCACGTATTGGCTCCCGCATTACAGCAGGCCTCAGGCTTCTTCGACAGCACGAAGGCCCCTTCCCGAAGTGTTATCAGGTGGGTGAAGGAGAAGAACCGCTGGAGTTGCCGCGCGTTTCTCTCGTTTGTGATTTTGTTTATGTTTGGAACGACGAAGATGAACAACAACGGCAGTTTGTCCTTCAGATGAAACCCCTCTCACTTGTTGCCATCCGTCTCGGTGGTCCGGGGGAACTTCCTGACCTTGATGCTGGAGCAATACCTTTGACCGACCAGCTTCGTGCAAAGTTGGGGATGAATTCCAAATGGCAATAATTAATGGATCTTGAGGCGGGAAGGCAGAGTGCCAGCAGCTGGGAAGGCAGAGTGCCAGACGTTGTCGCGTCACCCAGCTGTACCCTGCTTCGCCTGCACGTGATTCGCTTGACAGTGTGGTCAACGCAGAAAAGCGCAACATCCAGCAGTTCGTAGCCACTTCACGCGATTTGTGCATCCCTAATACTATCAAACCCTAAAACTATGGCACTCTGCCTTCTAGCCCCAAACCCTAAATACTAAAGACCCTGAAACTCTAACCCTAACCCTTTCATTACCCTCAAACCCTAACACTATGGCACTCTGCCTTCTAACCCCAAACCCTAAATATACTAAAGACCCTGAAACTCTAACCCTAACCCTTTCATTACCCTCAAACCCCTAATACTATGGCACTCTGCCTTCTAACCCCAAACCCTAAATATACTAAAGACCCTGAAACTCTAACCCTAACCCTTTCATTACCCTCAAACCCTAACACTATGGCACTCTGCCTGCTAACCCCAAACCCTAAATACTAAAGACCCTGAAACTCTAACCCTAACCCTTTCATTACCCTCAAACCCCTAATACTATGGCACTCTGCCTTCTAACCCCAAACCCTAAATATACTAAAGACCCTGAAACTCTAACCCTAACCCTTTCATTACCCTCAAACCCCTAATACTATGGCACTCTGCCTTCTAACCCCAAACCCTAAATATAATAAAGACCCTGAAACTCTAACCCTAACCCTTTCATTACCCTCAAACCCCTAATACTATGGCACTCTGCCTTCTAACCCCAAACCCTAAATATAATAAAGACCCTGAAACTCTAACCCTAACCCTTTCATTACCCTCAAACCCCTAATACTATGGCACTCTGCCTTCTAACCCCAAACCCTAAATATAATAAAGACCCTGAAACTCTAACCCTAACCCTTTCATTACCCTCAAACCCCTAATACTATGGCACTCTGCCTTCTAACCCCAAACCCTAAAGACCCTGAAACTGTAAACCCTGTGCCAGGTCTTCTTCATCCTCGTCTTCTTGGAAAAAACCTTAAAAATGTAGATTTTTTTTGTGTTTTAAAGTTTTTAAAAAATTTTAAAAGTTGTTTAAAGTCTTTAAAAGTCTTTCAAAGTCTTTTTAAAGTTTGTAAAAGCTTTTAAAAGCTTTTAAAAGTCTTTTAAAGTCTTTTTAAAGCTTTTAAATGTATTTTAATGTTTTTAAAAGTCTTTTAAATATTTTAAAAGCCTTTTAAAGTTTTGAAAAGTCTTTTAAAGTTTGCAAAAGTCTTCTAAAAGTTTCTAAAAGTCTTTTAAAGTCTTCTAAAAGTTTTTAGAATGTTTTTCTTGCATTTAAAAGTTTTTAAAAGTCTGTAAAAGTCTTTAAAAGCCAACTCTGTCGAAAAAACCCTGTGGATCTAAACCTTGTGGTTCTGGTTCGGTGCAAAAGGGCAATGATATAAGGGTTCCTACAAAGGGATCTATAGGGGTTTAGGGTTTAGGGACCCAAGAGGAACCTAGGAAGAAAAAGGGTGCCCCTTGTTGGTTTAAAGAGGCTTATAAGGGAATCTGAAACATACAAAAAGGGAATAAGGGCCTACTCCAGGTCCTAGATACCGATCAGGGCAAACTGTGCGCCGATGGCATCCCCACCCAAGCCGGTCTTGCAAGCCGTGCCCTCGGTCACGCAGCCCCAACCAGACCAACCGTGGTACTGGTCAATGCCCTTGCCCCAATCCAGGAAGCCGGCCGCAAGCACACCCCAGATGCCGCAGAAGCCGTGCACGGGGGATGCATCCACGGGGTCGTCGATCTTCAGCTTCTGCAACAGCATGGACGAGCCCTGGTACACAAAGGCGCCAACCAAACCGATGGCGAAGGCGCTGCCGCACTCGACATTGCCGCATCCGGCAGTGATAGACACCAGGCCAGCCAGGATGCCGTTACAAAGGCCACCGACATCGTACTTCTTCGTGATGACATAGCGCAACAGGAAGACCGTGATGCCGCCAGTGGCAGCCGCCAAGGTGGTGTTCATGGCTACCTGAGCTGCCAATGCCCCTGTGGCCCCATCATGCATGCCCAGCGTGGAGCCCGGATTGAAGCCATACCAGCCGAACCAGAGTGCGAAGGTGCCCAGCACTACAAGCGGCAAGTTGTGACATTCGAACTCTTCCGGGTTTTCGAAACGTCCTTTCCGCGGACCGAGAACCACAGTTCCTGCCAGAGCACTCACGCCGCCGGTCAAGTGCACCACTCCGCTGCCGGCAAAGTCCATGTAGCCTTACTTCAAGGATCATGGGACTTAGTAATTGGGGTTATAAGTAAGGTAACTACAGTTATGGTTACATATAACCTTAATTAGATACTTTTAACCCTACTTAGTAAGTCCCATGATCCTCCAAGTATTGACTAGGTTGATAGAAATTTGTGAGGCAGCACTGGTCCGTAGCTAGGAACTGACATGACAGATACCTCTCCTTGCGGCCCATGTTGCCCACAGATGTGATTGTGGCCAGAAATCCTCCGCCCCAGGACCATGCGACAATGATCGGGTAGATGAAACTCGCCATGAAGAAGGCATACACCGCATAAGTGGGGCTCTTGACTCGCTCGGCCACGCCACCACTCACGATGGTCGCACCAGCGGTACAGAATGCCCACCTTAGTTCTTGATCAGTCAGAGTCTAGATGATCTCAACGGGGATGCGAGATACATTTCCGCGTGCTGGCAACTTCAAAAAAAAGATGCCAGGCCAGAACCCAACCGCTGGAAGAACCAGCTCAGCATCGTGCTCTGGCATCCGTCAGCATCGCAGGATGCCAGGGGCGAGATGACACCAGTGGTAGCATCAACGGTGTAGAATCCGATGCCGAAGAAGCCTAGGCTGTTCAGAAACCCACTGGGAACAAGCATCTAGTTTTTTAGGCTTCTTATTTTATAAAAGTGTACCACTGCACAGCCTGGAAGCCGTCCGTCCCGATGAAGCCATTCGCAGGGGTGCCCTGGCTGCCGTAGGCAAACGCCCATCCGAAGACCCACCAACCCAGCGTGCCGACGCATACCTGGGGGATTCGGAAAGTTAGGGATACCTTATTTGGGGTCCTCATAATAAGGATCCTACTATTGAGGGTACTGTATTAGGGTCCCTATTTTCGGAAACTCCCACCTGGACCCCAGTTAGGATGGAAAGGCAAAGGATAGTAGGATAGTTTTTTCTCCTTTTGGTTATAAAAATATCAATGAAAACAGCAACAAGCATCAAGAGCCCTAAGCCAGGATACGTTCACCAAGTTCTTCATCAGAACGTTTGAGGCGTTCTTCACGCGGCAGCTTCCTGTCTCCAGCATCGCGAACCCTGCATGCATGAACATAACAAGGGCACCACAGAGGCACAGCCAAGCAGAATCCAGTGCGCCACCCAAGCCTGAGTTGAGGTTTTTAATGAAACAGTTACCATCAAACAAAAACGCACAGTGTTGTCATGATTATGTAACCTTCATATACCAGCAAGTATAACATGTTCTGATCTTATGCTATTCTGTTGCGAGTAGTGTCGTTCTTCATTGTTGTTCTTGTTGTTATATGTGCACTGATTACCTTTTGTGTGTGCTGCTATGGCCATTTGTTGTTCTCACTATCATTAGTGTTGTTATTGTCATTGTTGCTGCCCGGAACTGATGGTGGCTGAATTTACTAGGTTCCTTAACTGACGGGGGGGGTTAAGATTCTTGGGGTAGGGGTTCCTTCACATGAACGCTATTATGGGAACCCTGGTCCATACTAATCCCCCATACCCCATACCATTAACCCTAAACCTTAAACCCTAAACCTTGAACCCTGAACCCTAAACCCTAAACCCTTAACCCTAAACCCTAAACTCTAAACCCTAAACCCTAAACCTTAACAGGAACCCAGAAGCTGTAGTCGGTGCTCTGAAGAGCGGCCACCGCGGCATTGAACTCCGTTCGGGTGACCCAACCTTGGCTGACTTCTGGACCCCTCCAAGAAGTTAAACTTTTAGCCTCCTTATTATAGTTCATATAGAAACCCAAGCAGTTAAAGTCCTAAGAGCCAACCAGAAGAACGCCAAGCAACCGCTGGTCTGCAGCTGGCGTGAGACGTCTCCGCGCAACTCGGCGATGATCAACTTGCTCTCCTTTGACTTAGTTGCTGAATTCATAAGCATCCCCAAAGTGTACACTTTTACTTTTAGTGGGTAGCATTATCCAAACAAGTGTAAAGTGCACCCACTCAGCTACTAAGTTGAAACAACTGTACTAAAGGGCCTTAATAATTAGAATAGGGTTTGGGGGCCCACTATACCATCAGTATAATAAGGAACCCACCAGTACGAAATGTGACAGGGACCCCTAGGGGGTAGGGTGGGGGTAGGGGACTATACTTCCTTAAATAGGCTTTCCTATTATGGGCATTAAGGCCCGCTCCCCCCCCTAAGGGTCCCTATGAAAATGGCTGTGCCCATACAGCCTTCATAGAGCCCTACCCTTACAGGAATCGACATGCCAAACATGCGCTTCTCGTACATGTCAATCAACCCCTGAACCCGCAAGGATCTGCAAATGCAATGCACAGAGCCAATAAGAGAGTTTCATAACTATTCATAAGCCATAAGTGTCTGTATCTACTGAAGAACCGTTTAAGACTACATAATGAGAACTGTCTATCTATGTACAGTTCATAACTATAGACACATATATATATATATATATATATATAAACAAAAAATTACATATATAGATAAAGACTATATATATAGCTGTCTAAACACACACACACATATATATATATATATATATATATATATACATATATATACATATATATACATATATATATATACATATATATATATATACATATATATATATATATAATCTGTGTATAACTTGCTGACCCTCGAACCGAAAGGTCCTCGTAGAGCTCCTGCTGCTCCCGGAGTTGGGCCTTGAGCTCTTGGATTTCAAGGCCCAGGTCCTCGCCCTTGACCTACGGCTCATGATATAAATCCTGTATTACCTTAAGGACCGTAGGGTATGGGGATGATGGTCGATTCCTTATTGTGGGTAATGCAGGATTCATATCATCAACCGTAGTTCATGGTTGGGAAAGTATTACAACTCTATTATAAACTATACAGCTTCTATACAGTTTGTATTTGGGATCGTACTACTATTAAACTGCTACAAAAAATCATAACTTCTATTCCTTATCGAGGTTTAAGTACCCATAAAAATGCAAAATGTTGCCCAACTATGACAAAGTGACTGCCGCAGCCCCCAGAAGCAAAGCCAGAATGCTGCACCGCATCGCAAGCGGCGTGTGTGAGCGCGTTTTTGAGCGCAAGGGGGTGTCGAGAACCTCCTGAAGCTGGAAGCTTGAAGCCAAATGCTGCGATTGCCCCTCTGAGCTGGCGCATCCCTTGTGAAAGCTCAGGGAGCCCATGTCCCTTAAATAAGGAGGTTGATTGCCTGGCATGGTAGAGGCATCTATGTATCACGACGGAACACGTACTGTTGTGAATCAACGGGTGAACTCTGAGTTAAGGGCTGTATTTCAGGATTCAGCTTTAAAAAGCTTAGGTTGTGTATATTGGATTTGAGACTGATGGTCTGAGATTTTCGAGTCTGGGATCTTAGGCAAGGGTTCAAGGGACAGCATGTCTGGTCTAGGCCCTTAGTCTGTAGGATTTAGGCACGCTTGTTTGCTTTTTGCTCCTTGCCGAGTTTCGAGCTTACAGGCTTATGGGCCCTCCGGACGAAGAAGGCTCAGGGTCCACAACAACTGTCTGAACGGCCTACAGTGGAAGCCAAAAAGTTGGAAATCCAATAGCCTCACTCCTTAAGAGTAATGTATAGGGAATCCCAGCACTATTTGGCCTTAATCCGGTTTCCAACTTTTTGGGGTTTACTGTACTTTGCGTACCTTACACACTGAAACAACCCAACAAATCCAAGTCATGTGCTAGTTGCATCTTACTACACTGTCACAGAGCACCCCGCTCATGTAAGTCAATACCGTTAATAGTATTTTTTCCAAAAACCCTGTACACAGACCTTAATTATGCTTCATTTACAAGAACTCAAACTTCAATGTAACATATTTTGTTTACCGGCTGTTTAAAGACAACCGAAAGCCTTCAGCACCTTTCCTGCTGCTCAAACTTCTTCAGCCAGACCAGTCGATCATTATTGGAACAGTATCTGAAATTATATTAGGAGTACAGTAGAAGCCCAAAAGTTGGAGACCCAATGAACTCAGTCCTTAAGAGTAATGTATAGGGAATCCCAGCACTATTTGGCCTTTATCCGGTTTCCTACTTTATGGGGTTTACTGTAGGAGTATTCCTTGTTGAGTTTAAGTACAGTACCCATGAACATGTCTAGACCAACAAGAGTAACCAGGGAATGAAAAGGGTGCCCATTTGAGTTTAAAGGGGCTTATAAGGGAACCTGAAGCCCTTCAAAAGGGAATAAGGGCCTACTCTGGGTCCTAGTTCTCAAGATGCGATCATGACCCTGGCAGTACTCTAATAGTAGATACGTTCCCAGAGAGCCCTAAACCCTTAAACCCTATACCCTAAACCCTAAACCCCAAAACCCTAAACCCTATACCCCATAATTATACGAAACCAGCTTTTTTCAGACTCTCGCTCCTAGGATATCCAACTAATGAGCCCTAAACCTTATAGACCTTTTATAGGTCCCTAGAAAAATGAACCCTGATAGGATCCCTTCAAAATGAACCTTATAGACTCTTTATAGGATCCCTTGAAAGGAGCCCTAAGCCTTATAGACCTTTTTTAGGGTCCCTAAAAAAACTGCACCCTTATAGGATCCCTTGGAAGGAGCCCTAAACCTTATAGACCTTTTATAGGGTCCCTAAAAAATGAACTCTTATAGGATCCCTTTAAAGGAAACCTAAGCCTATGAATCCAACTACAAGGAACTCCAGAAAGTTGGAATATGGTTTCATGGTAGGATATCCTATAATTTACCATAGAAGGGTTAGGACAGTCATATTCCAACTTTCTGGCTTTTACCTTATGACAAAGCAGAGGAAGGAGCCAAAAGCTGATGTTCGTCAATGAGGCCCTGGTTGTAAGCGAACTCGGGCACCTGAGCCCGAAGATTCGGAGGTGCTTGGGTTGAAGATGATGGATGTTTGCTATACTGAACTTAGAACCCTAGCAAGAATTATAATTTTAGCTGCTTCTTAGGGATTATAATAGAGAGAAATTAACAATTATTTCTAAGTACCCCTAAGATTCGGAGGTGCTTGGGTTGAAGATGCTGGGTGCTCTGGGCGTTGCAGGGTTTAGGGTTTTTATGGTGGGGTTTATAGGGTTTTCCATTTCTTTTATATGGTTGGTTAGGGCTTGGGTTGAAGATGATGGGTGTTATAGGGTGTTATGGCTTCGTGTCTTTTGAGAGGATCTGGGGACTTAGCAGATAGGGTGTAACTAAGGATGCAGTAGGATAACCATTCAGGGTACTTCTCGCGGTACTTACTGTGTTCAGTCTCCTGTATATCAACGTACTAGTAGGATTTCAAGGTTTTAGGGGCTTAGGGCGGTTTCTTTTTTTGTTAGCTTTTTAAGGGCTCTTCTCCGGGTTATGGGGTTTAGGGTTTGAGGGTTGAGTGAGTTTTTATAGGGCTTCAAAGTATCCGGGGTTCGGGTCCAGGGTTTACGCATAAAAAACCAACTCGAGTAAACGTATAGAGTAACCCCCTATACCCTGGTGAGGTACTATAACGACCCCACGCCAAATGAGGCTGGCATATTTCAAGGCCTCAATGCAGATCCTAAAGCCCCAAACAGTTATACAGTGAGGGTGGAGGATTTAAGACTCTACGAGCCTGAACCCTGAACAGCCGACACTTACTTACCATACAGAACCGGCGGGTACATGGATCCATGTGGGGAGGGGTCCCCTGCGCAAACGACGTAGTAGCATAATGGCGCCCAGCAGTATCTACCAATCGGTAGCTGTAGAACTGGAAGTGCTGCAGATAAACGCTCGCAACCTCAAGCCCAAAGCCCTGGGCCCTGAGTTTGGAACGGTCGGATTCTGGATCAGGCCACTATAAACGCCGTTGCCTGACATCTTAGGTTTATGGTTTGGGGTAATACAATTTAAGAGGCCCAGCATGCGGGCATTGAACATTTAGAGTTGGGTTTTGGTGTATATTGCAGCACACTCTTGGAAGGTCTGAAGAGGATTCGTTATTTCCGCTTGTTCAGGCATGACGTCGTAAAAACAGGCCCTTACGGAAAGGCTTTTCGTTCAAATGCTGTGGGCTTGTGGTCTAGGGTTCAGGAGTAAGGCTTTAAGCGTCACGACTTCGGGTGTGGGGGTTTGGGGTTTAGGGCTTCGGGTATACCCATAGGCTCCATAGTAAGTCGGGGATCACCTTATAGGATTAGAAATATAACCCCCAGTAGGCGGACAGGGACCCCACCCTGCCAATATCCTGAGCAGAGCTCATATTCGGGATTCGGCAGGCGGGCCTTATAACAACGACGCTACTTCGAGTCTGTACAAGGACACTAGTCATGCGCCCCCGCCTTAGGGTTGGGGTTCCAAAAAACCCCAGAGCCTCCAAAACCCCTTAATTAAGGAATATACCTTAAATTATAATAGGATCCCTTATATGATTTAAGGTATATTCCTTAATTAAGGGGTTTTGGAGGCTCTGGGTAGTTCCTTTTTGGGGCTCATATTTCTAATCCTATTATAAGTTAAGGTATATTCCTTAATTAAGGGTTTTTTGCAGGCTCTGGGACCTTCAGGGTGCAGGGTGAACGGCTGTATGGTTTAGAGCTTTAGGGTGTAACTGCAGTCTTTTAACTGGATTGGCCTTTAAACACCCTAAATAAATATATATATATATATATATATATATATATATATATAGGGTCCCTTATGAACCCAAATAAGGAAAATAAAACATGTCCCAAAATCCAACCTAGTTAACTCAGCAGGGCCAGCCATGAACCCATTGCCTAGACTTTGCGAAACTGGCTCCAGCCTATAATGATGCCCTTCAGCGGAAACTCTCCGCGGATGTGAATCTCGTAGGCGACATTCGGGACATACCTTGGACGCGCCCCGACAAGCAGCAAATCTCGGAGTTGCGGTCGCATCCCTAACTATAAAGCCTTGACTAACCCCCCAGAATACATCGGTACAGCACACGCCCTGGTGCACTGGTCCTGAGTAGCGATCGACACTAACTTCGGTATGGGGGTTTAGGGGATAGGGCTTGCGGGTTCAAGGTTTCTCTTCATGCTGACGACACCTTCTCATGTGTGTTGTTTGCCTTTGCCCTTCTTCGGGCTGGTGCCATCGCCTTTGCCACAAAATAGGGTCTCGAGGCTTCGATGAAGAGGCCCGGATAGCCGTGCTTTCTGCGGTAGCCGTTCCAGGGGTAGCGACCGTTCCCCTTGCATGCGATTGCCATGGCCGAGCGCACTTGGTCTCAATGCCTTTACGGAATCATGCCTGTGGCTGCGGCGTCTCATCACGCAGCAGGAGGTCGATGGCCTGCGACGAGGCTGATGACCAACCCCCAGTGGCCCGAGCAGCGGGTCCTCGACTTTTCGTGGGCGATTGTGGCCTTCCTCTCGTCGGGGTTGCTGTCGCCCTTGCCCTTCAGGAAGCCCCTCGCCTTCTGCGTGTCCCGAAGTTTCTTCCGCTCTCCTAGTAGCTAACAAAGGCCTCGCAGATTTCATCGTCCCCCGAAGCCAGTGGCGGGACCCGTACTGCTGAGACGTATATTCAGAACTAGGGCTAACAGCGGAAACCCGAACTGCAAGTATCTAAACCACCCAAACTAAGTAAAATAATAGCCCCATTACCTATGAAAGGCCATTACTCTACATACCTCTGGGGTCCCTAAACCCTGAACCCTAAACCTCAAAACTCGAAACCCTGAACCTTCAGGAGATACGCACGGGCATGCAAGACTCCCAAGCTCTCTGGTCACCTGCATCGATGATCAGGGTTCCTTTAACGGGGGCTATAAGGGTTACCATAAGGGATCTCTATAAGGGTTACTGAAAGGGATCTATAAGGGGCTACTACTATAAGGGTACTATATTAGAGTGCCCTTTATAATTGCTTCCGGCTTATCTTCGATTCATTTCAAGGCTTGGGCCTAGGATCACGATCGACTCTATACCGGAATCATCTGAATTCCAGGTTCGATCCCCACTGACCTGAGAACAAACACTTTATAGGGAACTCCAGAAAGTTGGAATATGGATTCAGGGTAGGATCCCCTATAATTTACCTTAAAGGGGTTCGGATAATCATATTCCAACTTTCTGGTTTTTACTGTATTGCTGTCCCGTAGAAGACATCCAAGGCGACGACAACGAGAAAAAGGGCCCGCTGGGAGCCCTAGTCAATGGGCAGAAAACGCAAACCACAAATCCCCTACCCTGAGGGTCCATGTACCCAGATAGTATATACTTAGGGCCCAAAGTATCAACATAGGGACTACTTTAAGGCCAAAGTATATGTACTATTTGGGTACATGGACCCTTAGGGTTAGGGTTTTGGCCTTCAGCCCGGATCCGGCAAGCAGCTTGCCACCGTAGCTCTCGCCCGTCACCCACAAAGGATTCCTGATATGGTTCCCCGAGACGTGGCTTCGGTGGCGTAGCCAGCTTCAGTTCAAAGTTTCGGGCTTGAGGTTTAGGGTTTAGGGACTTAGAGTTCGTGGCTTCGGTGGTGTAGCCAGTTTCAGTTCAAATTTTCGGGCTTGGGTTTAGGAAGGGTCCAAGTAGTCCCTATCTATGGTTTTTGGTACTGAATAAGGCCCTAAAATCCTATAATAGGGAGTACTTGGACCTTCTGGGTTTAGGGTTTAGGGACTTGGAGTTCCAAGCATTCGGCACTCCGCATGTAAAGAAGAAGATTCTGACTAATCTAATGGTCAACCCAAACTGGGTGGTTGTCAAAATTAGGGCCCCTTTTTGGGTACCCTAAATATTAGGTGCCGTATTATAATAAGGACCCGAATGGGGACCCTAACTTTGACAACCAGCCAGCTGATGCTATGAAACGTACACCCCGAACCCGATGCTTCCTGGCCTGGAAGGCTTTGAGGAAGGATCCCAGAAAACGTGCTTTAGGAGCCTCAATGAATAGCGTTTTGGGGCCCGATATACTCTAAATGAAACAAAGAACCCCAAAGTAGTATTGGTAATGAATAAGGCACCTATATTACAGTACCCTTATAGATCACTTAAAGAAACCCTTATAGCCCCCTTTAAAGGGATCCTAGAGCCCCTACAGCAAGATCATCTTCCGAGTTTAGGGGTTTGGGAGCTCGGAATCTCTCAGTTGCCTTCCTGCGAAAGCCCCGATCGACTGAACGCCCAAAAGCCCTGGGAGGCTTTTGGGGTTGAGAGGTTTAGGGTTTAGGGGTTTAGGGTTTAAACGGTTTAAGGGTTTAGGGTTTAGGGGTTAAAAACCCTAAACCCCCTGAAAACCTTAACCCTAAATACCGGTCCTGGCGTACTCCGGATGCTGAGTGAAAATGAACCTGAGGTCGTAGGCTTAGGGTTTAAGCTCAAATCTGCAGGGTTTATGGAACACAGGAGTATATGTGGCTTGTTTCGAGTTTGATAGGACGGCTTGATGTTTAATGTTGAGGGTTAAGCGCTTCGGATTAGGGCGCCGAGGAATCGGCTCGAGAGTTTCACAGATCTCGTCGATGGGTCCTGGAGCTTGGCTACAGTTTGATTATGGGGACCCTTAGGGGTGTGGGGGGAGGGGGTTCAGGGGGCCTTCATGCGCATAGTAATCCCCTACCCATCTCCCCCTTACCCTCCTAAGGGATTATACACTAGGTTCCTGAGTAAGAACCTTTTGCCCTTTTTCTTTTTGGGTCTCCTCATAAAGACCAATAGCAGGACAAAAGGTTACCCCTATTGAAAAAGGGGTTACTCTCAGAAACCTAGTGCAGTTAAGGGGTTAGGGTCCCTGTGATTTAATCCTGATGGTGCAGGGCAAAATTAGCAAAATTGCACAGCACAGCTCAGGAGGAAAGCCCGAAAAAGATGCTGGCAAGCATACTGTTGACGCACAAAATCCTGCATTGCCCTGTATACCTAAAATACCTGTATACCTAAGCTATGGGAATTATGGTACTACACTACACGAAGTGTACCGCAGGATTTTGTCCATCCACCAAATCAAAGCTCTAAACTGTCCTAAACCCTCAAACTGCGACCCCAAATCCCTCAACACTTAGCACTCTAGGATACCCAGTAACCTAAGAATAAAAAGGCCTGTCTTTTTGGTATTGGGTAACTGTATAAGGAACCTAGGACTACAAAAAGGGAAGAAGGGTACTACTGGGCATCCTAGGCATTTAGAGCCCCGAATCCGTGCCCCTTTTGAAACCTCAAATGCTGAAGGCTACATGGAGCTCCTGTAGAGACACCAGAAACCCTTCAGAATCAAAAGCTTGGCTGCATGATCTTAGGGCTTAGGGTTTACGGCTTCAGGTTTTTGTTTAAGCTTCTTGTGCTTGGCGTCCATTTAAGCTTATGAGCACACAAAATGCAACCCGAAAACCACGTACAACCCTTCAAGAGCCCGTCCCCCGCGCTCAAGCAAACCACTCACCCTAAACCCCAAACCCTAAACCCCCCACTGTACATGAAACCCTAAACCCCCAACCACTCAGAAAGCCTTTCCTTGAGCCGTTCGAGTTCGGGAAGCTTCAGGGCAGTGTAGAAGTCCTCTCGCATCTCCTTCTCGGACTTGACATAGCTCCTCGGCTTGCTGGCTCCTACAAGTAGCAAGGATTAGGGTTTAGGGGTGAGGGTTTGGGGGTTTAGGGCTTGCCGTAGAGTGGCGCAAAAGCGGATGTATCTTGAGTGTTTTCAAGTGCGTCGTAGTATGACGATTGGTCGTTAGAGCCTGAGTTTGGATGGCTGTTTCTTTCTAAGTCTCCCACCCCACGCCGTGTAAGTCGGCCAAACCTCCCAAATTCCTTTTCGGGTTTCGCCCGAAACTCATTCCATAGTCTCTGTCCTATTTCTTCAAGCTTGTCGGCCAGCCAAGAGCAGGGGCAGCAGGCAAAAAGGCTCAATCACAGGTTTGACCCTCGGACCTGAGGCGCCTAGGTCCTTGAATTCTGCTTGGAGGACTGCCCCCTCAACCCCCTAAAACCCTAAACCCTTCAACCCAAAGCCCTTAAACCCTAAAACCCTTAAGCCTAAAATCCTTAAACCCCAAACCCTTAAACCCAAAGCCCTGTAACCCCAAAGCCCTATAGATCCCCGAAACCGTCTGAAGACCAAAGGCCCGAACTTGCTGAGGCCCTGGCTCTTTGCCCGTGAAGCCTTGGCTGCACAAGGGGCGTCCGCGCGTGGGGCGGGAGGGCTGCAGGGTGGAAGGTTTAGGGTTTAGGGTTTAGGGTTTCAGGTTTAGGGTTTAGGGTTTTAGGGTTTAGGGTTTAGGGCTTAGGGTGTTTACTCCGGCGGGTTTGGTTTGCGGCTTGCGATGTCCAGTCTTAGGGGTCCATATATCTACAATTGGGAGCGTTGTGTTTCGCATGCTGTGCGAATCCGTAGTCCGTAGTGAGAGAGAGAGAGAGAGAGAGAGAGAGAGAGAGAGAGAGAGAGGGAGGTCTCCGTACAGGTTATACAATGACCAGTAACGCAGTAACACAATCCATCCTTTAGTTCCTTACGAGACCTTTGAAAGGCATACCCCTAGTAACCCTATAGAACTGCACTTGTTCTGTAGCCTTGCCTGACATATATAAACTCACTCGGTCTTCGGATGCATTCCCAGGCCGAATGCCAACTGAAATGCATACTCAGTTTTAGGAGGAGGCTTCGTTTCGGAGCCGCTGCTTTTCGGCTCGGTTTCAACATGCTTCAATGGACAAACCCTAAACCCTAAACCCTATAGATGTTGTCACATATTGTTGGCTGTGTTTTGGAGGCCGTTGCAAAGAAAACGGGTTTCCAAAGCTTGAAACACCGTGCTTCGTGTATCGACATGACCCAAGAAGCCCTTGCAGCCGACGGCAAGCAAACAACAACTTCAACAATTTTTGCAATACCTACAGTCTCCATTGTAGTTCCTTTTTAGGGTTACCTTTGGGGATCCTTAATATACAACTGCTTAAACCCAGAAAAGGAACTACAATGGACAGGTAGTTTCGAACAACACGAGACTTCAGACAGACTCGATATACAGAACCGCCCATGGATGAACATATCCTTTCCAGGCACACCTGGTTGGGAGCCCTCTGAAACCCGAGGGTCAGTCAAAGGCCAAGAGGCTGAAACCAGAGCCGACTGGGTTGTCGATGATCATCACCTAAAAGGTTTAACGGGAAAGGCTTTTGGGGTACGAGGGTCTTTACATACCCTAAACCCTAAACCCTAAACCCTTATATAGGGTTTAGATCGTCGGGTTTGGGGAAGGGTTGATGGGGCAAGGCTTTGGCTAATTAGGTCCCGAGACCCTACCAAACCCTAAACCCTCAAGGTTTAGGGCCAGGGCTTAGGGTCTTGGGCTTCGGGCTCCGGGTTTCGCCAAACCACTTCCAAGGTGAGGTACTGCCTTGCGCAACAATGTAGAGTTTGGGCTTTGAGATTTAGGGTTTTAACACGGTCTAGGGTTTAGGGCCAAGGGCCCAAGTACCTGATAATCACATACTCTCCGAAATCCTAACCGAAATAACTACTATCCTAAAGACGAGTACCTTATTATTGGGTCCTTTGGACCCCTTGGGTAGGGCCAAAGGTAGATTCATGTCGTGACTGCGGGTCTAGCTTCAGCTCTACGGACTCTGTGGATTCGGGGTTCAGGATGTTTTGACATGCATTACTTAGTTGCTGGGTTCTGAAGCCCCAAAGAAGTGTACACTTTCAGTTTTAGAGGGGGTAATGTTATCCCAAAAAGTGTAAAGTGTATCCACCCAGCTACTAAGATTGCTATGCAATACTCCAAAGGTCAGGGGACTTAGCAGCGGGCTGTAAGAGTGCAGTCTTCCGACCTGTGCGCGATGGTGGCATGACGCTCCGCATGGGGAACCTTTTTTGGCACATGCTGTCAGGTCGACCCTGAGCGGTCCGAGCCCCGGACAAATCCCTCGTAAAGCGTGGTCAGTGTGGTCAAGCACTTTAACGGCCTTGGCTGTAGGACCGGGACCCTGTGTTTTTTGTGTTAGAAACAGTGTAGGCACTGAGGTGCCCGTCGGCCGCGATACCCCACGAATGTAAGTCCACACAACTGTCAGGTGGTGCTTGAACAGATCCGACAAGGCGTTCTGGACGCGTTCTGCATCGCCCGCTCCGTAAGCCGTCTGGGGGATCTCGGCATCTGTACACGTGGTTGTTCAACCTTCTAGAATCAAGACTTGCCGGCAGGTGTGTCAACAATGTCTCGTGAGGCCTGCATGCTGACGACCCGGACAGCAGTTGTGGTAGATGTCGTTGGAGTATGCTGTGCAATGTAGGCAGCCAGATGTAAGATTCCAGGTGTGTTTACCCCAAGCTGAGAGACTGTTTCTCAACCAGCCTACCTCAAGCCAAAACCAGAAATCCTTTGCCGGAAGCCCTGAACCTCGAAATCCGATGCTGAAATCTGGACAGTCTCGCTTCAGGCCTACAGAAATGAACACCAAGCTCCCTGATAAGCCGAGGGCGTTGTTCTTGCCGCTCCAGGCATGCGGGTTCCTTTCCACAAGAAGCTTTTGGCTGCATGGCTCTGGTGCTTCGGCGCTTCGTTTGGAATTTGTAACCTTCAGCGATCAACTACACAAAGCCCCCTGAACCCTAATTACAACCAAAACCCAAACCACAATGCCTTAAACTGAGGGCGTTGGGATGGTGTGGGGAGCATAAGATCTGCGGCACATGCTGTCATTTTGGCTTTCATTCTTCCCCCCCGGACTACGCCCTAAACTGCCTGCAGAAATTTGGGTTTCTTGAGGTTTCCTAGCCTAGCGTTTCTTTCGAGTGCCTTCGGGTGTCGGCCTGTATGTGTTTAGGTGTTAGGTCGTTCTGATGCCCTACCCGACAATAGCTTGCTTTTGGCCGTTGAAGATGTACCATAGTCTCCTGTGGCGTGGTATAATTAGGTCCTAAGGCCAAAATGCTTGGTTTGTGAAGGCACTGCTTACAGGCTCAGAGGATTTAGTAAGTAGGCGGCAAGCACGTGCAAGTTGCTAGTCACAAGAATATGCACTTGTAGCTCCTAGGTCCTAGGTTCCCCAGTGAGCCCCGTGGTAGAACTCAACCCACCGAAAACCGTGGTCTAGAAATGTACGGCCCCTTTCCTGACAGGAACCCTGTTCTGATTCTCAAGGCCGCTTGATTGCCTCAACTTCTTCGGAAACCCCATTCGGGATTTTCCGAAAATAGGGGACCCTAATATAGTACTCTAAATACTAAGATCCGAATTATAAGGACCCCCAAAAGAAGGTACCCCTAATTTTCGGAAACGCCCATGTTTTCCGAACAAAGTGTGCCGGGTCGCTCAGCCAACTCTCCTGACTGCTGCAATGTCAGCGGCCCGATATTTTCGACCTCGGGTCTTTCGTACTCCATGAGTCCCCTACTTGGCAGTTTAGGGTCTAGGGTTACTTTATGTATAATCCCAACTAGGATTGATATTACGGATGCCCAACGTGCCACTAAGTGCTCTTGTTTGAACTTTCAGGGTTTCGGGATGTGTGAATAAAACACCTGCTCCGAATGAGTTTGAGGGTCTTAGGCCAAGGAGAAGAGTGGTTCTCAACACCCGGGCGGGGTGATCTTTAAGCAAAGGATCGGACCATTTAAGTGTTCAGCTATTGATTTCGGGTTCGGGCAGCGGCCTAAAATTACTGGGTGTGGCAGTGTATGACTTTATGACTGGGGGTTCGGATCTCTCCCTGCCAACTGATGGGAGGCCACAAGGCGGGTTGAAGATTCTTGGGGTAGGGATTCCTGAATATGAACCCTATTATGCGAACCCTAATCCCTACTAAACCCCCATAGGCTAAAACCCCTTTTGGCCTCCTCTGACCAACTCCCGAGCTCGGTACAGAAACTAAACGGGCTTAGGCATCAGAGTTTGAGGGTTACGGATGAGGGATGTTGAGGGCTTTGGGTTCAAGGTCAAGGTTAAGGGTTTAGGACATCCCAGGAAAGACCCTGAATCGCAGACCCACTCCAAACTCTGAACTGTGAACCTAGCGTAGATCTTGCCCTCAGACCTGAGCTGTGACACAAACTCACCCATTTTAAACCATAAACCTCCAAGCCCTAACACCCTTCTAGAGCCCTCCTAGGATTTTGAGAAAACAATCGGAGCAGCATGTGTTATTCTTCAGTGATTTGATACCTGTAGGATCTACCGTGTTTTGGAGTCTTTGGATCAGGGAAATATTTCGAGTCCTGGGGCACTAAATCCTAAACATTAATCTCAAACCTGATTTCTTCTCAGAGCCATACGATGCGGCACCAATTACCCAAGACTCTTCTCTAATGATTCAAGGCCCCCTTTTTGAGACATTGGAGTCGTTGGGCACCCTAGGACCACCGGAAACCGGGACCCTAGAACCCAAAGCCCTGCCCCCTCGAGGTGAATCTCGACTTGCACTCCTGCCATCAGTGCTGCAGACCTCATCATGCACAAGGGCATGGGCGCGTGACCATCGGTAAGCAGAGCCCGGATGGCAGGCAGTGTAAATGGCTGGATGACCCCCTGTAGCATGAGGGCAGTGGCTTCAAGGAGCCCAGCGGTATGAGCCGCGCGAATTGCATCCCCCGACATCGTACGGTTGATTGCGAGCTCCGCAGCTCGTCGTCGCGCATTTGCACATACAAGACACCATCGCGTAGCTGGCCACCCCATGGCTGTCAGATGGCAACGGCCCAAACCTGCTCCCCAATCCAGACCTTTGAAATCCTTAGCAAACTCTTAGGATCTGGCACATGGATAAAGACGAATGAATGCTGGGATTCCCTAAGGCCTAGCCCTAAACTTCACCTTACATGGCTTGAAACGGCGTGACGGCAAGGATCTATAGGGCTCCTTTCGGGGATCCTCTGCAGGATCCATGATCCTGAGGCTGGGTCCTTTTGGCCCTCCTTAGAGCACTATAAGGGCCTTAGTACTTGTTTTGAGCCCATTACACCATAGTTATAATACGGAACCCGCAAAATAGTATAGGTAGTTATTCAGGACCCTTGTAATAAAGAACCCTACTATAGATCCCTTATGGACCCTTCCAAGGAACCCTAAACCCGTGTGTCCTTCGGGCCCTTGTTATGGTAAGCTGCCAGGATACCATGAGACCCATGATGCTGGATGCGCCGGGGCCACCGTTCATCCAAATGATGTTGGGTGTCACCTCAGGGTTTACGGGTTTAGGGTTTACAGGCTTAGGGTTTAGGGCTTATGGGCTTTGGGTTTAGGGTTCAATTGTTCCATGATGTTGGGTGTCACCTCGGCCAGCCAACCCCTAATGCGGACTTTTTCCAACTTTAAGACTCTGAGCCCCAAAAAGGGTGGTTGTTAAAATTAGGGTCCCGTTTTGGGTCCTTAATACAATACGGCACCTATTATGTAGGTTACCCAAAAAGGGACCGTAATTTTGACAACCACCCTAAAGAGGATCTTGAGGTTTCAGGATGTGTGTCCTAATTCCTGCACATAATGCCTCCAACGAGGCCTATCGGCGCATTCAAACCCAAACCGTTCCAGGACAGCTCTGCCACTAGCTAAATACAGCTGTCCTAGTAATTAGAAGAGGGTGTTGAGGTATATGATATGTGTTCTGTAATGATGCTCAGGAACCCTGAGGAATAGTATTGATTCAGGCTTCTATATTCTAGCCGTTGGAGTTTCTCAGTTCCCCGCTGAGGGGTTTGCACGCCGGTGCAGCCTCAATGTTGGAGCTCTATATGGATTTACAATGAAGAACGGATACTCGTGTCTGAGGTCTGCATGTTCGATTTACTGTTTTCTAGAATTGCCACATGCAGTGGGCGAGTCTCTTGGTACTCAAGGGATATTCGCATTTCTTTGTCGGGAGTTTCCGGAGTGTCGAACATGCTGCGATAGTATGGAGATGAGGACGGAGATGGGGATTAAGACAAGCATAAAGATAAGGATCAGTATACATAAGCTAAGGCACGCCAAGGCAAAAAGAGGTAACGCCAATAAGAGCAATAACAACGTGTATGTCGGCGTTGGGGCCTGCTTTTTCGAGAAAACAAGCACTTTTCTCCTGTTTTACAGACTTTCGTGTCGATGCGGAGTAACTACATGTGGCACTTTGTGTGCAGATGAGCTACTGATGCTTCAGGTCATGACATATAACAGCACGGCTATGGTATATGGAACCAGTACTAAGATGATTATTCAAGCCACCGAACTGTATTGTAAGTGATGTACAGGCTGCCTACTCATTTCACGCATTGGATGTCGGTAATAATAGTAGTAATTACAATCATGAAGAACAATAAAAAATACTACTCAAAACCATAAACGAACAGTAGTAATAACCGTAATAGTAACAATTACAACAACAATAACAACAATAATAATCGTACTAGTTACAAAGGGTAACAGTACTGCGGCTTGGAGACTCCTGGCTGATTGCCGGACTCGGCTTCGACGAACCAGTAGAACAGCTGCCTGAGGAGGTTAAAGGTCTTTGGGGTGTTCGGGTTTAGGATTATAGGGGTTAGGGCTTGTAGGGTTTAGGGTTATAGGGTTATAGGGTTCAAGGGTTTGGGGGTAGTAGAACAACCGCCTGCTGAAACTTCGACATGCCATGGGGTTAGGGCTGGAAAGTTCAGGGGTCAGGGTTTAGGGTTGATGGTTGTGGGTGTAGAGCTCAGCATCTAAGAATGCTATTGATATGTTTATGAAACACCGTGGACAAACATCAACAACAATCATGCATATATCGATGCTTCAGCCTTAAACCCTAAACCCTAAACCGTAAACCTTGCAAAGCCATGTCTGAAGCTCCCATACCCTGAAGCACAGGATCCAAGCCTACGCTCCTTCCATCGGCCTCCAGTGCGTGGGTGCTTCGGCTTCGGGAAGTAGCCATGGAGGCTGGTGTTTGAAAACAGTGTTGTGTCTGAAGGACTGAATACCCTAGCCAAAAAAGGTTAACCCTTTCGATTATGGTAGGATTATGTCATCAGCCCCAAAAGGTCAAAGGTCACCTATCCAGCTACCAAGATGTAAATAGTACGGAACTTACACCCTAAGGGTTCACCCCTTACGAAACCCCTAAACCCTAAACCCTAAACCGTGAGCTTTGCGAGTGTGCTTGACAGAACGACCTGCCGAGCTTTAGGTCTAAAGGGAGTTCGCGTGTTTCAACGGGGAAAAGGAGGGACCCTTAACAGGGACCCCTACCCTATAATGTGGCCATATAATGGGTATATAATAGCTATATTAAGGGTATATACCTAGGGGTCCTTACTAAGGGTCCCTCCTTTTCCCCTTTGAGTGTTTGATACAAAGCAACAGTATACATAGGCGACATAGCCATTCCTAGTATACGAAGCATCGCATGTGATGCCGGAGTTTGATTTCAGGTTGAGGGCTTGGGGGGCAGCACTTTATGCTTCGGGCTTCAGGCTTTGGACTTTGTGTTCAGAGCTTGTGCAATATTGCCAGGGTGGCTACCAGGGTGGCCCTCCATACAATTACGAGAAAAGCTGGGATGCCCGTTGTCAGTCGTAACGCACAAAGTCAATCGAAGACTTAGAAGGCTACAGCCGTTCTGTGCCAGCGTGAGTAAACGAGAAAAACATATGCCTCCGGCTCTAGGGGGATTCTGGTTTCTACGGTTCTCCTGTGTCCGCCTATGGTGGGCTTTAATGGGAGCGCCAGGAGTGATCCGAAATGAAACCGGAAAGATAACTGACCACGAACCTCCAAGTACCAGCTGCCGGCGCATACCGGCGCGCATATCATGGACTTCTCCCATGGACGAGACTTCGGCCCCTGAGTGCACGACTAGTGCCGGGACCCAAGAAGCTGGCTGGAAAGCGGAGTCAGATTGGTAGACCAATCCAAGGCCGTCTTCAGCCCGCCGTCCCAAAGCTGGTTCGTGTGAACCTGTACCTCTTCAGGATCGCCCTCAGTCATTCGCGCGATCGTTCTAGCTGCTTCCTTAGCATCCCTCGACAGAGGAGCGGATGCCGGGCAACTCCGCTGCGAGACCCGGAGACTCCAATATCCCTTAACTAAGGAATATTCCTTAAATTGTAGTAGGATCCCTAATATGATTTAAGGAATATTCCTTGATTAAGGAATATTCCTTAATTAAGGAATATTGGAGTCCCTGGGGACCCGCTTCCACAGCGACGACGGGGTCCAGTCCGGAACCTTGCCCTGGTATGGCTTCCAGGTGGGCTGGTCGTAAAGGGAACTCCAGAAAGTTGGACTATGGTTTCAGGGTAGGATACCTCATAATTTACCATCAAGGGTTTAGGATAATCATATTCCCACTTTCTGGCTTTTACTTTAGAAGCTTTCTGCGCATTTCGCACAGACCATTGCCAGGGGTAGCCCTGCCATGTTAAATGAACTCGCCCACCGTAGTTAATCTGGATAGTTATAGGAGCGCGAAGAGTCAGGCCCTTAAATGGAAAGCCGTCTACATACCCTGAACCCTTGACCCTAAACCCTAAACCCAAAACCCTAAACCCTAAACCCTAAACCCTGAACCCTAAACCCTGAACCCTAAACCCTGAACCCTTGACCCTAAACCCCTAAACCCTGCAGGCCTGTCGGTCGTTTCGTTGACCACCGCGTAGCCAGCATAGTGCTTGTTCCTCGGGGGCGCTGTGGTGCTTTCTTTTTGGGGTTGACTTCCTAGAGACTCCAATATCCCTTAACTAAGGAATATTCCTTAAATTATAGTAGGATCCATAATATGATTTACGGAATATTCCTTAATTAAGGGATATTGGAGTCTCTGGGTTGTTGGGGTTGACTTTCAAACTGCTAACAAAGCCCCTGGATCCGATGTAGGCTCTGACCCTAAGGCTCCATGTATCCATATAGTATATACCTAAGCCTTACAGGGGTTCCTATATAGGTACTTTAAGGCGTGTATACTACTACCTGGAGCCTTAGGGTGAGTTTCTGCCGAAACCTAAACGAATCACAGCTGAGCTTTGGGCTTCAAGGTAGCGACGCCAGGTAGGCTTTTCACCTGCACAGGACTGTCCCACAGAGAGCAACAGGCTTTGCTAATATCGGGGTGTTGTGGGCGAGAATCGGGTTCTCCGGGTAGACTAGCAGAACCATGTCTATGGCAAAACAGTTAAAAGTAGATAGACAGTGGTAGATAGATAGATAGAAACACCGATAGATAGTTATGGATCACATCACAAATAATTCAGAACCCTGTATTCTGCTGCTAGGGGGGCCTTACAACTTGAAACGGGCTTCAAGGTTCTTAAAAGAGTGCCGTGCATGCTATTTATAAGGGCTTTTAGATTCTGGGCGTTTTGCAGGCCTTAAGACTTATAGCAGGTCTCTGGGATACAGTTCTGGCATATTCAGACTATGACGGAATACTGTTATTCATATTCCGACCCCTTTGTGCGAAACCCCAAGCCAAAACCGCGGAGAGTCTCCAACACCTGGAAATAAGCACTGCAAGCCGAAACCCGTTCAGGGTTTCGGGTAGTTTGGGGGGGTGGGGGCAGGGGGTTCAAGCATGGGATTTCGGGTTTCTTGGTGACAAGCCCCCGACCGACGAAACCCCAATCCGTAAACCGCACACCCTAAACCCCACGCCGTATACCTATGGTACCAAGCGCCCAGAACCCCAGAAAATTGGACCATGGAACAAGGGATAACGAGTCTCCAACAGAAATGGTTTCGGGTTTAGGGTTTAATTTAGGTTTCGAGCCGTTTTGGGTTCAGGGTTCAGGGTTTTCAATACCCCATAAGGAAAGATTATACAAGCAGGAGGTTCCTTGTTTGAGACGGGATTGAAAATCTGAACATCCTTAGCAGGATCCCTCGACAAGTCCGTCACTCCTTGGTTGAGGATTCTTACCCACTCCGGGTGACAGGTCAGTCTGCACAGTGCAACCGCACAGCACTAACATTTATTGTAGATAACTCAAACCGTAAAAGCCCTGACTCAACCGGGGGCCCTCTGATGAGGAGGGCCTTGATCATTAGAATAGGGTCTCGAGGTTTGCCACCGATCGGATAGTTATACATGGGCTGCAATGAACATTATTGGCTACTGGTCCTGCCTATAGTCTCCATTGTAGTTCCTTGGTGGGGGCAGCTTCTAACCTAGACCTCTATAGTACAGGACCTCGTCTGCCACGGCAGCAGCGCGAGCCAGGAAGGCCCACAAAAGCAATGCCCGAGCCATGGTAATACAAGAACAAAGGTAACACGGCAAAGAGCGCAGAAGCTGACCGAACCTTAGCGGTGCAGGGTTTTGTGGTAAGTAACTGAGATGCCAAGGTTGGATCTCGACAGTAGACAAGTCATCTTCTTGGCCCGAAGGACGACATGTGGACCAGAATGCGATGCGGCGCGCGCGGTCGTCGGTCATGATGCTGAAACAGGCAAGAACTACTACCGAGACGATGGTCTCACTTGGAGGATTCGGGGACTTAGTACTTAGACTGCTGTATTTCATGCTGCACACAGCCTAACTTGAACAAGGGTACCTCGAACTTCATCTGCTTACCAAGTCACTAAGTCCATAGCCTGGACCCAATCCTTGATTTGAGGGTGACCCCTGCAACCACGAACCCGTGCAAACTCCGAAACAAACCCATAACCCCGGAACCCTGACCACTTGAGCCCTGTAGAAGGGCTGAGACCCAGGCTCGAAATCCAAAACCGTGATTTCATTAACGCCCTGAGACTGTATTCCTTAGGGTTTGGGCGGTTTAGGATTCAGAACCCTAAACCAGGGAACCTTGAGTCTTGCACTTGCAATCCGACGGACTGGCTGCTACACGAAGGGCCCAAGTCTTCAAGTGCAGTGTGCCAAAAGTAAATTAGTATCCTAGACCCAAGAGTCTAGGAATAAAAAGGGCGCCGTTTTTGAGTTAAAGGGGGCTATAAGAGAACCTAAACCTTAAAAAAGGGCATAAGGGCCTACTCTGGGTCCTAGTATCGCTTCAAGGTTTAGGGGATTACAGGCTTAGGGTTTAGACGAGCAAAGCTGTGCTGTGAACTTGGCAACCAACATCCGACTACGAGGACTGTGAGGGTTTCAAGAAGATTGCTTGGATGTTGAACGTGTATCCCAGAATCCTACCACCCCAACCCCCGTTCCTATTTCCAATGCATTGTCTACTTTGACATGCCAGGCCCTGCAATTGAAAGCACATCTGTCTTCAAATTCTTCGAGGGCCTTACCGACAGAGCCTCAAAACCCCCAATCCCCGAAACCCATAAACCCTAAACCTTAAACCCTAAACCCTAAACTTAAACCCTCAACACTAAACCCTGCACCCATCTGTAGCCTGAGCCGTAAAGGCTCCCTAAAGCCTCAAGGATCCAAAAAGACCCAAAAACCTTGCAACTCTCATATGGGTGGTCGTCAAAATAAGGGTCCCTTTTTGTCCTTATTATAGTACGGCACCTGTTATTTAGGGTACCCCAAAAAGGGATCATAATCTTGACAACCATCCATAGATCATATAACCCCTACATAGCCCTCAGAGAGCTCTCGAGGGACGGAATCCTGAAGGACTACAAACCTATCCCCGAGTCCTGTGCCCATGGTTTAGGGTTTAGGGTTTAGGGGTTTAGGGTTTAGGGTTTAGGGTTTAAAGGGGGCGTGTAAGATTTGAGATCGTAGGTTTCGGGATTCCACACTGTGAACCCTCACCTTCAACCGGAAAGCCCAAACCCAATGCCAAAAACCCAGCCCAAAAAGCGAGTTTCCTAAACCCTAAACACCTTAACACCTAAGACCAAAATGCCAAGAACAAGAACCCAAACCCTATAAGTTTTAAACCCTGAACCCCCCGAATCCAACACCCTAAGCCCCAACCGCGTGCCCCAACGGAGGCCTGATGTAACTAAGCGAGACAATGCATCCGAGGACCGCTGTCCAGCCCTTGCCTCTCGGCGCACTTACGGGGCCTTTACGGGCACCTTTGGTGCACTGAATGAGGGTGCCGCTAAGGGTCCCTTCGAGGGCTCCGCTCTTTGAGTATAGGGTTTTTACGGCTCCAGGCGTACTTAGGGTTAGGGATTGGATTTCCCGCAACCGGGGGATTCTCAAAGCTACCACGGGACTCCCCGGCAAGAGCCAATGAATCGGTGCACGGTCGTTGCGGCTATACCATTCCTTACTTAAGGCTCTGTATTACTATTCGTATGGCTTAAGAAGTCCAAGACCCTATTCTCATGATTAAGCCTCCTATATTAAGGGACCCCCGACTTTGGCAAAGGTCAAGAAGTCCTCGACGATCCAACCCTAAACCCCTAAACCCTACACCCCCAAACCCCTAAACCCCTAAACCCTAAACCCCCAAACCCCTAAACCCTAAGCCTCTAAACCCCCAAAGCCTCCCAGGGCGAAGCGCCGTTGGCCCTTATAGTAGTCCGACATGGCACGGCCGCTGGCGGAAGGCTCTCAAAAACCCTAGGGATCCTAAGTGACCAGGTTTAGGATTTATAGGGTTTAGGGTTTAGGTTTTAGGGTTTAGGGATTTATAGGGTTTAGGGTTTAGGGATTTATAGGGTTTAGGGTGAGGGTTTACGGTATTTCAGGGGCCTGAATCAATAAAACAGGGGTGTTGGGGCACATAATTATATAGTACAACATGTATAGGAATTGTAAGTTACGATTGCTAAGTATGCAAAGGCACAGTGTTATGGAGATCCGGAATTGGGAGCCGCACAGTAGGTACTTAGAACCATGTGGGAAGTGGAGTTGAGGGACTTTGGGGTGTTGGGCCTGAACTTGAAAGGTTGAACGCGTAGGAAGGAGCTCTATACTATAACCCTGAGGGTCCATGTACCCAAATAGTATGTACTTTGGGCCCAACGTACCTGTATAGGGAGTACTTTAAAGCCAAAGTATATACTATTTGGGTACATGGACCCTCAGGGAAAGTGCTATACTCCGTAAGGCTCCATGTAGTCGCATAGTATACACTTAGGCCTTAAACTACCCACATAAGGAACCCCTTTAAGGCCTAGGTATATACTACATGGGTACATGGAGCTTTGGGGACTTTAAGTGCGGGTTTACTAACTCGAGTTCACCGCTTCAACGGTTTCAGACCAGACTTCAGCTTACCCACAGATACCAATGCCTCTTAATTAAGGAACCTACCTTAAGTTATAGAGGCCTTAATATTATGATTTAAGGTATATTCCTTAATTAAGGAATCTACCTTAAGTTATAGAGGCCTTATTATGATGATTTAAGGTATATTGCTTCATTAAGGGGTATTGGGCTCTCTGGGTACCTGCAGGGTACCTCAAGAATCTCATGTCCACGGGCTACCCAAAAGGCTTATGGATGTCTTTAAGCAACTTTTATATAGGGGCCTGGAAGAGTTAGAATAAGGTGTCAGGGTATAGTATAATAGATGTATAATTGTGTAACCCGAGGAAGGGTCCTAGCATTTATTTAGGATCCGATGTTGCGTTCAAGCTGTTCTAAAGTCGGCGTTCGGTTCCTCTGGGCTCACGTAATATAATACAGGGGCCTTGATAATTAGAATAGGGCTTTGGTGCCCATAAGACTGTAATCATAACAAGGAACACCCACAATAATATGGGCTTAGGCCCCTTATATAGAACCCTACTATAGATCCCTTACAGGACGCTTCTAAAGGATTGCATAATCAGGAACCCCACAATAATGCAATAAGTTTAAGCCCCTTATATAGAACCCCACTATAGATCCCTGACAGGACACACACACGCATAGACAGACCCTAAACCCTACACCCTGAACCCTAAAACCTAAACCCTAAAACCTAAACCCTACACCCTAAACCCTACACTACACCCTAAAACCCTAAGTTACCAACTTTGCTTTTGTGGCAGCTCGCGTCCCAGCTCTGCTCTTGACTACTCCTGGGACTCAGGAAGCGCTCCGGCAGCTGCTCGAGGACCTTCTTCTTCCTAGGGCCCCTTTAAAGGGTCCCTAGGGCTCCTTTAAAGCTGATAAAGGGTTCCTAGAGTTCCTTTAACAAGGCTCCTTCAAAAGGGTCTATAAGGCATCTATAGTAGGGTTCTATATTAAAGGCCTTCTTCTTCCTAGGGTTCCTTGCCTGTGAAGGGTCCCTTTAAGGGGGCCTTCATGGTTAGAATAGGGTTCCTTTAAAGGGTACTTAAAGGGGTCGATGAGGGATACTTTTTGGGTACTATACTATAAGGGTACTATAGTAGAGGGGCCTTAACAATTAGAATAGGGTTCCTTTCAAGGGTTCCTTCAAAAGGGTCTATACGGGATCTATAATAGGGTTGTATATTGGTTGGCCTTCTTCTTCCTAGGGTTCCTTTAAACGGGCCTTCACGGTTAGAATAGGGTTCCTTTAAAGGGTACTTAGAGGGATCTATAAGGGATACTTTTAGGGTATTAATAGTAGAGGGTTCCTTTAAAGGGTTCCTTCAAAAGGGTCCGAAAAGGGATCTATAGTAGGGTTCTACATTAGGGGCACAAATTATTACCTATACCATTTTGGGGGTTCCTCATTATGCAATCCTTTAGAAGCGTCCTATAAGGGATCTAGAATAAGGTTCTAGATTTCGGCCTTAATAATTACCTATACTATTTTGGGGGGTTGGGCGCCCAAGCCGTATTCTAATTATTAGGGCCCCTACACTATAGTAACCTTGTGGTAACCCATATTGTGTTTCTTTTGCGACGGCGGCTTGGTAAAGTTTGCCTTTGGCTATGCGTTTGGGACATGTTTGGTGTTTGGCGTCAGGTATAGGGCTTCGGGGGCTTCGGCAGCGTTGTTAATGTAAACGCTTCCGATTGGGGCGGCCTAAGGCTACGTAGGATTTCTTCGGAGGTTTGGCCCTGCAGTAGCCCCGGTATGACCATTTGTAAAAAATGCCATATACTTGACGGTTTTAGGGTTTTTGAGGCTTGCTGGGCTTACATAGGCTTAACTCTTAAGCCTAAGCCCCGAAACCCTAAACCCATAAACCTTAACCTCTAAACCCCTAACCCCTAAACCCTTTCATTGGCTGTGACCATGGGCCTTCACATGGGTAGTTCTCTAAATAAGGGTCCTGTTGGGGGTCCCAAAGTAGTACGGCACCCTTATGAAAAAACCCAGAACTACCCGCATAACTTTGCAGGACGGAATAAAATCATACACCAGCCAAGGTGATGATGCTGTCGTGGCCCTAGACCATTATAAAGCCTGCATCCTC